CCACAAATATTTCTTGGGATGGGGAATCCCTTGAGTGGCAAATTGCTCAAAAGACTGTTGTTACACCCTCAGTGTCCCAGCACTACCCACAAGGCCAGGATGAAGGGGCCTGAGTTCAAGTCTCCGTTCTGGAATTGTCACATAAAATGGTTTCACCATCCTGGGTTTCTCATCTACATTGGACTTGACTCCAACAAAGGCGTAGAAGGGGAATATCCTACGTAAGTTCTAGAAACAGGGTTCAGTTGGTTTGAATTTATCTGGAATTTATCATATCTAGAACTGTGCAACTGGGGTACCAGTGATGCCCACAATTACAAAAGAGCAAAGAATTATCTTCTGGAATGCTTACTTTGGTGAACAATTAGGCAGAATCTGTTTTATATCGAGCAAATATGTCTTGATTATAGAGTATAATGCAAAACTTTTGCAGAATAAAGTATCTGAAGTCCCCAGTTATCTACCACAAATGACATTTCCTTAGGGTTTTATATTTTTATCCTAAAAATGTGTATGAGTTTTGCATTATATTCTATAATCTGACAATTCTCTTCTCTTTTGTAATTCTGGGCATCCCTGGCAACCCAGTTGCACAGCTCTAGAAATGATAAAGTCCAGATAAATTCAAACCAATTGAGCCCTCTGTTTCTGGAACCTAAGTCAGATGCGTCCCATTCTCCTGACATGGAACACTTGTCTCTGATGATGTAAATGAAAACATGGGCATAAAGGGCCAATTAAACATAAGTATGGGGTGGGGTTATAATTTACTTTACCATCTAGGATTCCTGACCCTCCTCTACTTCTCTCTTGATTTAGATATTTCATTTAGTCACATCCACTTAGTGCTCCATACAAGGATGTATCTCCAGATTTTAGCTCCCATATCATCTCATTGCCTTTCTACAAAGAAGACATTTAAAATCTAAAGTCCACATAAACAGTTTGTATGTGGAAGAATGCTTATAGAAACAAACTGCATAATAGCTGCTGTATATTTTCTGCAAGAACAAAGCATAGTAAAAGGCCACTGTCATTATTATTATCATCACAAAAATTAGATAACAATAGCTACAGAAGTTGGTATACATCTTTGGACAATTATTTTGGCCTTAAATATTAAGTGCCTTTAAACTGTTTCTTTCCTCTCATTTGGGAATTTGTGCTAAGTACATAGGTCTCTCCTGAGACACACATCTTCAATATTTTTACATTCAATGAATACAGAAATTCCTTTACACACAGAAAGGCAGCACAGCCTAGTGACTAAGAGTAGGTCTCTGCAGAGCCTGGGCTCAAACCCTCAGCACAAATTGAATAAAAGCATGATGTTGACAGGTTACTTAAATTCTGTTTCTCAGAATCTTCATCTACAACATGGAGATCAGTTTAGTATTTCAAAAATCTTTGGAGAGTAAATAAGGTAATAAGTGTAAATCATTTCTACTTGTGAATTTAATAAATGTTCATCACTACCAGTAATATGTTCATAATAGGCTAATGCATGAGCACAAAAGGAAAAGAGCCCCAATGCTCCACAACACAAGATTGATTTTAGGAAATCTCCTATGTCGACTAGAGGGCAAAGTTATTAAATTTCCTCACAGTGTACCCACAGTCTAGTACAGGAGTAACTGTGACAAGTGTTTACTGCAATTTGGACTTCAATATGAAATGGGTAAGATGCACATTAGGTTATGTTTTTCATGTCACTGAAACTGTTAAGTATTTTATGGGTGTGTGCACAGCTTAATGGGTAGTATGTGATGCACTTTACATTGGATGCAGCCAGTCTGTAGTAGGTGGAAATGTTAATAAATTAAGGACATTGAGATGAGGACATTATCCCCCATAATTTAGGAGGGCCCAGTATAACACGGGGCCCTTACAAGACAGAAGCATGGGCATCAGAATTAACAATAGAAGATGTGATGACAGAAATGGAGGTTGGAATGATAGAAGGAAGAAGCCAAGAGTCTCCCCTGAAGTGTTAGAAGGAATCAGCCCTGCTGAGACCTTGATGTAGCCCAGTGAAACTAATTTTGGACTTCTGATCTCCAGATTTCTAGATAGTGAACTGTGTGCTGTTCTGAGTTACGAGGTTTGTGGTAATTTGTTACAACAGCAATAAGAAAACAAGTCTTAAATCTGGTGAAAATAAGGTTCTATTTTGACTTCGAGGTGCATGTTGGGCCCTCATTGCTCTCAGAATAAACACTTGGCAACATTCAAAGCAATCAATATAAAGCTATAGAATAAATGTTGAATGGCATATACAGCCATTAAAATGTTGTTTCTATAGAGTTCATAATAAAATAGAAGATGTTATTTGAAGCAAAAGAATATCAATCTGCAGTTCAGTGAAATTATAATTATGTTCAATGGGAAATATCAAATTATACATACAAGAATTCCAGAAGAAAATAAATCAAAATATTAATAGGGATTGTTTCTGTATATAAATAAAACTAAATGACTTTAGTTTTTCTTCCTTTTACAGTTCTGCATTGTCCACATTTTCTATAATGAACAGTATCACTTTCATAATCGAAAAAAGCATATCAATTTCATTTAAAAGGTACACAGCAGTATAATATAACATATAAAAAACAATTTAAATGATATTGATATACTCACTCTCTTTCTGCACCAATAACTCTAATTAGTAATTTAAAACCTTCACATTCAAAGGTCTGGCATTTCACTAACTGTGCAGTCATCACGGGTCTGTGTTTTGATTTTGCAAACATGGGTTGCCTTTAAAAATAGTAAAGTTATGATTATTCCCTTCAAAAATCATCCACCGACCAGCCACTGTGAACTGCATGACAACAGCAGGGAGTCAGAAGGGAGTGATTTCAGCAGAAACTGGCAATTGATTTAATGGAAAGGAAAAAGGAAAGCGAAAAGCCGGAGAACTTGCAGAATACGTTTGTCGCAAAGACGAGAGTTTTTCCTGGCACTATGGCTCTTTGACCTTGGAGAAATCATCTCACCAGTGTGAGCCTCAGTCTCTTCCTCTGAGTTATGATACTATAGAACTAAATGACCTCTAAGATAGCTACGCTTTCTATAAATACATGCATGTGTTTATATACACACAACCACCTGCTCCCCCGTCCCCCGCCCCGACACACATAGGAACAAATAGTCTGATTATAAAACGATGAGTCAGAATCAAAATGCCAATGACAGAAAAAAATGCCTAGGCTATACCACAGTCTTACTCTGTATTCAGGAATTACAGTGACCTTATGTGAACTAGGTCCTTTACACCATGCAATTTGCCACTAATACCACCATCATGAGATATTTCACAGAATCTTCTTTTTCACGATGTCAGAAACTACACCACATAGTGGATTAAAAGGCTCAAACATATAAGGGTTGCAGCAGCAGGCAGATGTCTAGTTAGCCATTGAAGCTTTACAGCTTGTCACTTGTCAGTATTTTGAGGAATGCTATCCTGACCTCGGGAAAGTTTTCTACATTCATGAAAATCAAGCATATGACACCATTTAATAACAGTGCTCCATATAAAGGCAATGCTTGATAACCTCTGAATTATTATATTAAACATGGAATATGTTGTATGTGAAATTTCAATTGAAGTTTCAAATATTTTAGGATATGTATTTTTTTTTCCTCAGAAAGTATTAATAGAATATCTCTTATTTGAAAGAAACTTTATTTTTTCCCAAAACCTAAGGAATATATAAGTCTGTAGGGTAGAATAAGTCATATACATATTTATCTCCAGTGCAAGAAAGGAGTTATATACCTAAAAGTTATGGACATATTTGTATGGATAGAATTGCAGTGGGAAAAGAGAGATTATATCCAGGCATCTAGACAGAGAGATGGTACAGTGAAGCTTATGGGGTCCATGGCTTCAAAGGCACTTTGGGCCCTCAAGTCAAGAAGTGAGATAGAAAGGGAGGTCTTTCTTGATGGAGAAAACAGAATGAGCAATGTCTTGGTGGCAAGGAGAACTTAGAGCATGTATGAACAAGAGCAAAGAGTGAAATTCGAAGGTACTGCCAACTCTAGGTTGAGGAGCCATAGGACAAAGATTGACAATAGGGCCTCCCTGGTGGCACGGAGTCTATGTTCTTTTTTTTTTTTTAAGATTTACTTATTTATGCATACAAGAACTGAGGTACAGGCCAGAGGTGTGGAGGGTGAGAGGATTCACCAGAGACAGGGTGGGGAGCAGAACAGGTGGTTCTACTGAAATACACTGCTGAGGGGAGCAGTGGGCAAGACAGGAGAGGTCTGCTGTGCTATGTGGGTTAGCTCCCTGGCTGGGGATCAAACTCATGCTGCAGTGGCTGGGGATAGCTTGATAGTGCTGTGACTTTAACTTCTGAGCCACCAGGGAGGCCCCTAAGTCTATGTTCTTTACATGAAGACACTACACTTATTAAACACTGTGCTTTGTGTGTGTGTGTATGTGTGCGTGACTATACATTTACATATAAATGTATAAATATACACATATTATACAAAATGTTGATGGCACTTACCATTATCTTATTGTTATATCTATTAGTTTGTAGCAATAGCTATACTTTTTTCCTGGTTTGTGAGTGTTTTGACAGCACACCACCATATAGCATAATGTACCCAGTCAATACTCAGTAATTGTTGATTAATTGATTTAAACTAAGTCCTTCAATCTCCAGCATATGCTACATAGTCTTCTAGGAACAGCAGGACAGCTGGTTAATACACTTGGTATAATAGGACAAAATAGGATAGTTTCTATTTTTCATTAGATCTGCTATAGGCAAGATAGCTTATTTCTTTCAAAGCTCTTAAGATAAGGTAACTGAACTCATCATATGAGGGTAATCCGTCAGTACGTGTGTGTGCATGCATGCCAGCTCACAACCACAAAGTAGAGAAATCATGTGCTAAATATTAAATACAGGTGGTGTGAGCAAACGGGTAGAGTTCATGACCCAGCTTTGTTTTTATGTATTGTACTTGACACTCACCTCAATAAAGAAGATGCTGGCTGCAGACGTCGGATGGTGATACATATAGACTGTCACAAGAATGGCTGCTGCTATAATTAGGACCAGGATGAGAATTCCAACAATGAGGCCTGCATGAAGGCTCCCTCTTTTCTTCTCAGCTGCACTGTCATCTGTAGAAGCTGGAAAAATAGCACAGCTGTCAGGATATTCATGAGGGCCATCTTAAGTTTGCTTAATTAGAGAGAATTTTTATTTATTTTATTTTTTATTTTTTTTAATACAAGCACTGGGTACAGTCAGAAGCGCAGGAGGGTGAGAGAATTCACCAGAGCCAGAACAGGGAACAGATCAGGCAGACTGACAAAGTACACTGCTGAGGGGAGCAGCAGGCATGGCAGGAGAGGTCTGTGCGCCATGTGGGACACTTGCCGGCAGCCGGGGATCCAACCAGCGCTGCAAAGGCTGCGGGCAGCTTCTCAGCCTAGCGCTCAACTGCTGCGCCACCAGGGGAGGCCCTGAATTTTTATATTTTTTTAATAAAGTACCATTAGATTTCTTTTTTACTTCCTGTTCAAGCTTTATTTTCCATGGCACCAGTCTTAGATATTATTGCTCCTTATTTGGGCAGTGAAAAATCCATACTATTAATGATTAAAATTAATTTATAATTGTCTCCTAATTTATAATTCAATAGATAGAATATCCTTTATCTTAAAAGTATCTTAGAAAATCTAAAACTCTAACTATATAATAAATTTAAGATTGATTTTTTTTCTCATTAAACTACTGGAACTATTACCAGTGGAAAAATTGATTACTTTTTGAAAGCTCACTTCTCATTTTCTTTTGGAAATTTCACAGGCATTTTCAGAAGGCCTGTTTGTGAGTTCACAGAATAATTTTCAAAAGCTGTTTTAAACTGAAATGTTCATTGAAAGTGTAACAGATGGATGCTAAATGACCCTCAAAAAGTTTTATCACTATCTACAGGGAATGGACCATATATGAGAATATTCCAGAATGCCACAGACCAGTATCATTTTCTCTTTTACTAAGATGCTTTCCACTTTAATACTGATTTTTAGAGACTTAGGAAACAGAGGAATTAAATTTCTAAAGCAATAACTCTCCAACCCAAAGTCAATCAACCAAAAAAACTAATCTCTAATGTATTTTCTTGTTCTGAAATTCTGCAGCCTTTGATGACTACTCAGGCATTTAAGGAGATCTTTCTAAATGATATGCAGCAGGTAACTTTATCTTAGTGTATAATATGGCTGCTATTTTTGAATAACTAGAAAATTCTTTAAGACTTAATGAAGTTCTAGAACAGTAATTTCTAGTCCTTTATTACCAATTAACATCTTGGTTATTTTTACCATTTGCCTCAGTGGGTTTTGGTCTTTTTAACCTAATTTAATAAACACTGATTTATTTCTTTAATTTTAATTATTTTTGTTTAAAAAACAAACATGGCTGCTTATAATTGTGCTCAATAGGAAATAACAGAAAACGACAAGAAGTAAATAAACAAGAAATAACATTCAAAATCCTAAAGTTTTTCCTTTATAATAGAAATTTATTAGTGAAAGAACTTTACTACTGCAAATAGCAAGTCATTATATAAAAATTCATTTATAGAGAGGATTCTGGGAAGATGGCAGAGTAGGAAATATCAGGAATTTGTCTCTCTATGTAGACAATAACTGTACTGGCACAATCTATCTGACACAGATATCCTGGAACTCTGAATTCTAATGAAGCATGCTGATGAAAGGTTTGGATTATAAATTCTGGTTAATTTCAGTCAATTTCAGCTCTTAGTACAGTGAGCTGCCCAACTTCCACTCTCTGTCATGAGGCAGGAAGCTAGAAATTAGATGACAGATCAAGAACAACCAAACCACAAAATATCAAAATTTACAGATTGCAGGGAAATCAGTGCAAAGGAGAAATTTATAACTATAAAACACTGAAGACAAGAAAATTCTTAAATGCACAACCTAACTTTGCAACTCAAGGAACTAGAAAAAGATCAAACTCTACCCAAAGCTAACAGAAGGAAGAAATAATAATTAGTCTTACTAAAGTATAAAAAAACGGATATAAAAACAATTAAAAAATTAAAGAAATTTAAAGTTGGTTCTTTGAAAAAGAAAAACAAAATTGACAAATCTTTACCTAGGACAAAAGGAAACAGAGAAGACTTCAATTATAAAAGAAACAGAAATTACTATCTACAGAAATAAAAAGGCTTATGAAAGAGTACTATGAATAATTGTATGTCAACAACCTGGATGACTTAGATTGAGATGGACAAATTCTGAGAAGCACAAAACCTATGAAGATTAGAGAAGAAATAGAAAGTTGGACTAGACCTATAACCAGCAATCAAAAATCTCCTTGTTTAAATTGTATATTACTTAGCCTTAAAAAGAAAGGAAATTCTGGCATATTACAATATGGATGACTTGAGTATACAGTTATTATATAAGCCAGTCACAGAAAGACAAATACTATATGATTCCACTTATATGATGCTTAGAGTAAAAACCATAGAGGCAGACAGCAGAATGGTGGTTGCTAGGGACTGAACAGAAATAAAGGAGTTTCTTTTTAATGGGTATAGAATTTTAGTTTTACAAGATGTAAAGAGCTATGATAGAGTTGCCGACAAAATATTATGAAAAAGATTAATACCACACACTGAATTATATGCTTAAAATATTATGATGGTAAATTTTATATTTTATGTATTTTGCCACAATAAAAAGTCAAAGTTCATTTGCATGTGCAGTCATATTTGCATTAACGGTATCAAATCAATGACTAAAAAAGGCTGGCATTATTTTTATTCTCACTTAAGAGGAAGAAACAAAGGCACAGGGAAATTAAGAAATGTGTTAGTGACATAAAGCTATTAAGATAAATTGGGACTGATCTCAGATGTCTGTACTCTGAGTCTGTGATCAATAACCCCTCAACACTGAGCTCTGTGTATTGATACTTCCTCTTCTTTCCTGTTGTGAGTTCTGAATAAAGGGATATTAATTCAAATATGGTTAAAGAATTAACATTGTGCTTCCAAAGGGCAGAGGCTGTGTCTGTGCTGTTACTTCCTGGAATAAGGGCTTAGGTCTGTGTATGCTTTTATATGCACTTATATGGAGCCAGGATGAAGGGAAGGAGGGTCAGAGATGGAGTAGGAAAAAAGAAAGAAAAATAAAGCTTACAAAATTGGAATAACCACTTCTCCAATAAAAATAAAATGAGGTTATAACAAATTACTTAATCTGTCTGGCCTTCAGTTACTTTATCTCTGCTACGGCATTGCTGTGAGAATTAAACATTTAATACATATCAAGAATTTAACCTAAGCTTATAAGTATATAGCATATAATAATCACTTTATTAATACAATGATTATTACATTCTTTATATGAGGCAGATTACGACAAATTACACTATTAGATTCATGACACTATAAACTTAATACTAACTTTTATTACTTTTAAATGTTTGGCTTCATTAATAAGTATGCACATATTGTTGCATTTGTGTACTTGCTTTTTTCTTATTTTTGAAGGAATATAACACATTACTTTCATGGATTATTTAAAATACTTATTTGGATAAAAATGGAAAAAATATCTATTTGAGTCAAGAAGGGAAGCCTTGACATTTTTTTTTGCCTCTACGCACAATTCCATCCATGTATCCCTCTGTTTCTCCTATCCTCCTCTTCTTTTCTATAATTCCATCATTCCTTCTACCTACCCATCCATCCAAAAATCATCCAGTTCTATTCTGGGATTAGCAGTCTTTTATAAGCATCACTCTATTGATTCTAAGATGCAGCATTGGGGGTGTGGGTGTGGGTGTGTGCACACACACAGGATGAGGGAAAAGACAGGGCATTTTTTTTTTCCAGTATTAATGATGTCTTTATTAATTTGCCTCCAACATGAGAAATAAGAGAATAGAAGCAGATGGGACTACATCAATCTACAAAGCCTCTGCACAGAGAAAAATTATTGTTAAAACAAAATGGTAGACAGTTGAATAGAAGATATTTGCAAACCATATCTATGGCAAGGGTTTAATATCCCAAATGTATAAACAACTCAGTTTATACAAATAAAACAAAATAAAATAAAACTCAGTTAAAAAATAAGCGGATAGTCCTCCCCTGGTGGCCCATCGGTTGAGAGCTGGGCTGCGAGGCTGCCCACAGCCTCTGCAGCGCCGGTTCGTTCCCTGGCCGTCGGTGAGGGTCCCACAAAAAAAAAAAAAATTAAAAAAAAATAAGCGGATGATATACATAGATATTTCACCAAAAAAGTTACACAGATAGCCAGAGACATATGAAAAGATGTTCTGTATCACTTATCATTAGGAAAATGCAAATCAAAATCAAAACCATGAGATTTCATCTCCTACTGGTTAAAATGGCTATTATCAGAAAATCAAGAAATAATAAATTTTTTTTTTTTAAAGATTTTATTTTATTATTATTATTTTTTAAAGATTTATTTATTTATTTACACAAGCACTGGGTACAGTCAGAGGCACGGGAGGGTGAGAGAATTCACCAGAGCCAGGGCGGAGAGCAGAACAGACAGACTGATGAAGTACACTGCTGAGGGGAGCAGCGGGCGGCAGGAGAGGTCTGCACGCCATGTGGACCCTCGCCGGGCTGCCGGGGATCGAACCAGTGCTGCAGAGGCTGCGGGCAGCCTCGCAACCCAGCGCTCAACCACTGCACCACCGGGGAGGCCCTAGAAATAATAAATTTTTTTGAAGCTGTGGAGTAAAAGGAACCTTGTGTACTGATGGCGGGAATGTAAATTGGTGCAGCACCCTGGAAAAGAGAACAGAAGTTCCTCAAAGAATTAAAGAGAGAAATACCATTGGATCCAGTAGTCCCACTTTCAGGTATTAACTTCAAGAAAATGGAAACACTAGTTTTAAAAAACGGCATTTCTGTGTTGGCCTCATGCTGCCACTTCCCCTGGGGACCAGGGAATGAGCCAGAGCCTATTCAGGAGGAAGCAGGCAAGACACAACCCTTCTGAGGAAGAAGTGAGCCAGGGACATGTTCTATTCAACAGGAGCTCTTGTCAGTCAAATTGTCTTTGACTTGCTGGACATGGCTTGGCAATATAACATAAACTCACAA